AACCCAGGAGGCGGAGGTTGTGGTGAGCCGAGATCACACCATTGCACTCCAGCCTGGGTAACAAGAGCGAAACTCCGTCTCAAAAAAAAAAAAAAAAAGAAAAGAAAAGGTGATATGTCCAGGGAAGTGGGAGAAGCATAATATGTTTGGAAGGAAAGACACTGAATGAGATAAATGACAGAAATAATGAAGTCGATAGGGGCTAGAGCAGGCTTGTAAGAACTTGGAAAGCTGTGAAGTGTTGGGGCAAAAAGTAGTGTGGTGAGATGTGCATGTTAATGGCAATTTTTACTTATAGTAGTAAATAGACCTGGGAGAAGGAAATAATAATTGGCTTTCTGCTCGGAAGAAGATCGGTTAGGCTAGTTTTTGAAAACTTTGAAAAGCAGCAGTGGCCTGAAACATACTAGCAGTAGAGATGGGAGCTCAGATGGACTTGATAGTGGTTTCAGAGGTGAGAGAGACTTGCTGATGTGATGGTGTGGGGAAGCGATAGATGTTTTCCTGATCTTGGATTTTATAGTTGGGTAAATGGTGGTGCCTCACTGAGATTGAAATGCTGGATTAAGCAATGTATATGGACAGGGCATGCTTCCTACCATTTAAAGAGTTATGTTCTCCACTTGAAATGTGTTTTAGTTGGTTAAAAATTATTTACCTGGCTGGGCGCGGTGGCTCACGCTTATAATCCCAGCACTTTGGGAGGCCGAGGCGGGTGGATCATGAGGTCAAGAGATCAAGACCATCCTGGACAACATGGTGAAACCCCGTTTCTACTAAAAATACAAAAATTAGCGGGCATGGTGGCGCGTGCCTGTAATCCCAGCTACTCAGGAGGGTGAGACAGAATTGCTTGAACCCAGAAGGCGGAGGTTACGGTGAGCCAAGATCGTGCCATTGCACTCCAGTCTAGGTAACAAGAGCGAAACTTCGTCTCAAAAAAAAAAAAAAATTATTTACCTGGCATGGATGAAGCATAAAAAGTACTTACATAACTAATAAACCAATGCTATGGTCTCACCTATGAAAATAATTAAATGGCTTTTCCTTATTTTTTCTTTTCCTTTTAATTTATTAATACTAAAATGCAAAGGAAAGATTTCTTGTAGATGGCCTGAGTTTTTGAATAATTTTCCCATGAGATGTACACCTAAAGAGTGTTAAAGCTTACGTTTGATTTAGTGATCCTTTACCTGTTTGATTGTAAGCGTAGGATTCATGAGGAGAGACTTTGGGTAGGAGCCAAGCTAGGACTCTCAGGATGGCTTAAGTCCAGCAGAGTAGTTCAGAGTAGTTCTACTCAGGGGCATCAGAACTCCTTTCATGGCCAGATTTTCAATTCATTTTTTTTTTTTTTTAGAAGTGAAAGGTCTCACATATTTATTACTGAACCCAGGCAACCAAAGCCTTCTTGTTTTTTTTTTAACATGAATAATAGAAGCACTGTGGGTTGTACTAACTAATGCCTTCATAACAGATCCAGAGAGGAAACTGTTCAAACTTCTCCAGATAGCGGTGACATTTTTCAGCTTGATTTGGTAACATGATTGTGACTTTCAGACAGCATAAATATGTGTGCCATCGCATGTGTAATTTCTTATAGACCCAGCTTGGTTCTTCTCCAATGTCTCCTTTTGGAGTTGTACCTGATTTTATTACCAGTTTTCATCCGAATCCACTGGGGAATGGGATGATTTTGCTTTTGTTTCTTGGCCAGGAATCACTTAATCCTGAAAGTCTTGTGAGAAGACATGGCGAGAAACGGAATAAAGCACACACCACGATGGCGGAGAAAGGAAGAGAGGAGAGAGCTCAATTCATTTTTTAAGTGAAACCCCGTAAAGAACATAAGTGGTCTTGTGATATCCTTAATGTCTTAAAGATATATTGACATTTTTCTTCACCAGTAATCTTTGAAAACAAAATTTATTTAGTAAACAGGCATTGCTGTTTATGTACCGTACGCTAAGACCTTCACTGGCTCTGTCAGTGCCAAAGAAAAAGATTCATTGTGCCCCTTTCACAAAGAGTGAAACCTATTTCCACAGAGTGTTTGTCTAGCCAGCATTTAAATACTTCTGGGGATGTCAGACTTGTTACCTACCCTTAGGCAGTCCTTGGGTTTCTACAGTAGTGGTTCATGTTTTTTTATTTTTTTAATCTTTTAATTAATTAATTAATTAATTATTTTTTTGAGACAGAGTTTCGCTCTTGTTACCCTGGCTGGAGTGCAATGGCGCGATCTTGGCTCACTGCAACCTCCGCCTCCTGGGTTCAGGCAATTCTCCTGCCTCAGCCTCCTGAGTAGCTGGGATTATAGGCACACACCACCATGCCCAGCTAATTTTTTGTATTTTTTTAGTAGAGACGGGGTTTCACCATGTTGACCAGGATGGTCTTGATCTCTTGACCTCGTGATCCACCTGCCTGGGCCTCCCAAAGTGCTGGGATTAGAGGTGTGAGCCACCGTGCCCAGCTGGTTCATGTTTTTTTAATGGCAAACAAAGTATTTTTGAAACCAACTTAGTGATGTGTTTTCTGCTGAGTTGGTACACGCTAGAAGCTGGAGTGTAGGCATGCTGTTCTTTGCTTTATGCAACTCAGGGAGACAGTGTGCAATCTGACCCCAAGAATGTTTCTTCAGGACATACTTCAACTACTCAGTGAGAGGCCATCTCCTACATTAAGATTTCTGCTCCTGAGAAAAAAAATCTGTCCCACTTGACTGCACAGCCATCATCTTCTGTGTGAGTTGGGCCACCATCTTCTAAAACCATCTCACGTGAAAGTCCTATTGGGACTCTCATTTTGGGTAATGCTTGCCTCTGATGTCATCCACATGACTCATCAAAATCTCAGGTGAGCCCCACTGTGCTCCTAAGATGGTTCTCTCTTATTGAATCAGTCCTGGCAGATGTAACCTGAACATCCCTTTGAGTCCCACGCAGCACTGGTTTCCCATTTTGGGGAGAACATGATTTTTCATCTCTTGCTTGGGAGCATGGATATTTCTGCATCACCACAACCATAAATATCATTAGGACAGAGACCACATTTTGTTTCATTTCTGCATTGGATAAGATAAACTTAAAAAAACTCTTTAAAAAGTTATTTCTAACCCTCACTTTTAAAAATTGAAATAGCTGGCCGGGCGCAGTGGCTCATGCCTGTAATCCCAGCACTTTGGGAGGCTGAGGCCGGTGGATCACTTGAGGTCAGGAATTCAAGACCAGCCTGGCTACATAGTGAAACCCCGTCTCTAAAAAAAAAAAACTACCTTCTAGAATGTTTATAGTTTCAGGTTTTAATGCCTTTGATCAATCTTGAGTTGAGTTTTGTTTTGCTCAGTCTTGCTTTGGCTATACAGGGTCTTTTTCTTGTTTCATATGAATTTTAGATTTTGTTTTTTAGTTCTGTGAGGAATAATAATGTTCTTTTTATGGGAATTGCATTGAATTTGTAGATGGCTTTTGGTAGTATGACCTTTTTTTTTTTTTTTTTTTTTGAGACGGAGTTTCGCTCTTGTTACCCAGGCTGGAGTGCGATGGTGCGATCTCGGCTCACCGCAACCTCCGCCTCCTGGGTTCAAGCAATTCTCCTGCCTCAGCCTCCCGAGGAGCTGGGACTATGGGCACACGCCACCATGCCCAGCTAATTTTTGTATTTTTAGTAGAGACGGGGTTTCACCATGTTGACCAGGATGGTCTCGATCTCTTGACCTCGTGATCCACCCGCCTCGGCCTCCCAAAGTGCTGGGATTATAGGCGTGAGTCACTGCGCCCTGCCGACCATTTTTACAATACCAACTCTACCCATCTATAAGCATGGGATGTGTTTTCATTTGTTTGTGTCATCTATTCTTTCAACAATGTCTTAGAGGTTCTTTTGTAGAGATCTTTCATTGCCTTTGTTAGGTATATTCCTAATTATCTTATTTTTTTGCAGGTGCTTTAAAAGTGTTGAGTCGCTTTTTTTTCCGCGCTACCTGCGAGGGCTCCAAACGGCGTTGTTCTGGATTCCCGTCGTAACTTAAAGGGAAACTTTCACGATGTCCGGAGCCCTCGATGTCCTGCAAATGAAGGAGGAGGATGTCCTTAAGTTCCTGGCAGCAGGAACCCACTTAGGTGGCACCAACCTTGACTTCCAGATGGAGCAGTATATCTATAAAAGGAAAAGTGATGGCATCTACATCATAAATCTGAAGAGGACCTGGGAGAAGCTTCTCCTGGCAGCTCGTGCCATTGTTGCCATTGAAAACCCTGCTGATGTCAGTGTTATATCTTCCAGGAATACTGGCCAGAGGGCTGTGCTGAAGTTTGCTGCTGCCACTGGAGCCACTCCAATTGCTGGCCGCTTTACTCCTGGAACCTTCACTAACCAGATCCAGGCAGCCTTCCGGGAGCCACCGCTGCTTGTGGTCACTGACCCAAGGGCTGACCACCAGCCTCTCACGGAGGCGTCTTATGTCAACCTACCTACCATTGCTCTGTGTAACACAGATTCTCCTCTGCGCTATGTGGACATTGCCATCCCATGCAACAACAAGGGAGCTCACTCAGTGGGTTTGATGTGGTGGATGCTGGCTCGGGAAGTTTTGCGCATGCGTGGCACCATTTCCCGTGAACACCCGTGGGAGGTCATGCCTGATCTCTACTTCTACAGAGATCCTGAAGAGATTGAAAAAGAAGAGCAGGCTGCTGCTGAGAAGGCTGTGACCAAGGAGGAATTTCAGGGCGAATGGACTGCTCCAGCTCCTGAGTTCACTGCTACTCAGCCTGAGGTTGCCGACTGGTCTGAAGGCGTGCAGGTGCCCTCTGTGCCCATCCAGCAGTTCCCTACTGAAGACTGGAGCGCCCAGCCTGCCACGGAAGACTGGTCTGCAGCTCCTACTGCTCAGGCCACTGAATGGGTAGGAGCAACCACTGAATGGTCTTAAGCTGTTCTTGTGTGGCCTCTTAAACGACATGTAAGATTCATGGAAAATAAACATCGAGTTTCTAAAAAAAAAAAAAAAAAAAAAAAGTGTTGAGTCTTCGATTTAAATATCAGTTTGGTCACTGTTGGTGTGTACCAATGCCACTAATATGTGCACATTGAATTTGTATCCCGAAACTTTACTGAATTTATTTTTGAGATCTAGGAGCTGTTGGATGAGTATTTAGGTTTCCTCAGCCTCCTGAATAGCTGGGATTACAGGCACGCGCCACCACGTCCGGAAATTTATTTATTTATTTTTTAGACGGAGTTTCGCTCTTGTTACCCAGGCTGGAGTGCAATGGCACGATCTCGGCTCACCACAACTTCCGCCTCCTGGGTTCAGGCAATTCTCCTGCCTCAGCTTCCCGAGTAGCTGGGATTACAGGCATGCGCCACCATGCCCAGCTAATTTTTTGTATTTTTAGTATAGATGGGGTTCCACCATGTTGACCAGGATGGTCTCAATCTCTTGACCTCGTGATCCACCCGCCTCGGCCTCCCAAAGTGCTGGGATTACAGGGTTGAGCCACCGCGTCCGGCCAATTTTTTCTATTTTTAGTAGAGATGGGGTTATGCCATGTTGGCCAGGCTGATCTTGAACTCCTGACTTCAAGTGATCTGCCAGCCTTCCAAAGTGCTGGGATTACAGGTGTGAGCCACTGCACCTGGCTCCAACCGGCAAATTTTTATTACTGGTTTTGTTACAGGAAAGAGACTCAGATTCAGACCCCAAGAGAGGGTTTTTTGATCTTGTACGAAAAATAATTCACAGCGAGTCTCCAGTGCAAAGTAACAGCAAGTTTCCCAAAGCAGGAGCTTGGCTCTCCCATGTTCCAGAGCCCTTCCCTGACAACGAATCAGAACCTAAAAGAGACAAGACAGTTTCAGAGGCCACGCACTTCAGAAACCACGGGAAAATGCCAGAGGGTGCTTGCCAGCTATTTGGAACTTCAAGTTTGTACCAAGTGTTGCTTAAAGAAGGGAAATCAGAGAATGGATTTGACTGGGGTGATGAGGAATTATTTTTCCCGCCCCACCATAGAGTTTTCCCTACTGTCTCATTGTAATATTGTCTCAGGCAAGTTAATTCTCCCACCGAGTTTGTGAAGGCTTTTCCCCGGCAAGCAATGAGAAACCGCCCGAATAGAGATTTTTAAAAGCCAGATGCTCTGACCTGCAAGCATAGGTTAGGGGGATGACAGTCAAAGTGAAGTTATTTTCTGGCACGAATTCCCTTGCCTCCCATGGCCACTGGTCTCCCATGTTGGTTCCTCCACAAACATAGCATGAGGAGATACGTAGGCTGCTGGCAGTAATGTTCTCAGCTAGCTGAACAAATAGGTTTTAAGCCAAAGGGGAGGGTTCAGGCAACTCCTGCTTGATATCCTCATAGAATGACTCAAAAACTCGAAATTGTTGGGATGGATGAGTCCAAGCCTTTTTGACAATATGTAAATAGGCCTTTGGGTGAACCCCAAATTGTACTGTCATGGGTAGCCTGTAGTCCATAAGGGCAGATCTGGTTTTAAGATCATGAGATTTACAGGATCACAGGTTACTTTACAGTCATGTGCCGCTGGTACTTCAGTATGCAGGACATGTGATTGTTGGCTTGTGGACCCATGTCACACGGTGCCAGCAAGCTATTACTAGGGATTTGGCAGGGCAATCAGAGGACGAACAGGTTTTCCAGTGACAGCTGTTAGAATGCCACACAGAACTAGAGATCACAAGGGAGGGGAAACTGCTTGTGACAGTTAATAAGCAGAGATTAAAGTATAGGGATATGATCCCCACAGTGGGAAGGGGAGACGCAGGTTTGGTTTAGAAGGTACCCTTCTTTTGACCCAGCATGAATCTCTAACCAGGTTCCAGGTGTGAACCTAGGCTCATAACATATATAAGACTGGCCATTTCCTGGATCACAGACTGAATAGGTTGTCTGATTGTGAGTGCCCCTTCCTTGGTGGGTGATGGTGCATTCACAGTAAGTGTGATATAACAGGTTCTAGTTACTGTGCTTCCCGACCACGTTATGTGAGAGCAGTGGGGGTACCCGTCTATGGGCCCACTGCTTGGTACAAATAAAGGAAGTGCCTTGATGGGGAGGAGTAAGAACAAAATAAAAAGTACCATTTTACACCCACCAGGGACAAAAGAGGTCCTTTCCTGAAGGAGGGGGTTGAGCACAGCAGCAGACTAATAATAAAACAGCTAACAGCACAAGGAAAACTCAGTAGAGTTAAAATTTCTAACCACATTTGCTTTCCTGATTACAATTCGACCTTCAGCCGTGCGTAGACTTCCAGAGCGACCAGAGCAGGGCTGTTGTCTTTGTCAGCAGCCTGGTCTCATTGTAGGATCAGCTGGCTCGGGTGGTCTGTGTTTGACTGACAGGTCCACTTGTCCTGGGCCACCGACTTTAGCTCACTGTGGTGGATCCGAGGCACGATTTCTGCAACTTTAACAGCAGTGGGAGTGGACAAGATTACAGTATGGGGTCTATTCCATATGGGTCCCAGACTAAATGGATTCCACTTTTTAACCCAAATAGAGTTCCCAAGTTTAAAGGGGTATACTGGGTCCACTAGGCTTACAGGTATTCTTTCCTGTACCCAACCATGGACACTTTACATGGCTGTCCCTAAGGCCTGCATTTGCCTTCTCAAGGTTAGTTTCCCTAGCTCCTGGAGATCACCCTTAATCTGGCTCATGATTGGGGGTGACTGGCTATACAAAATCTGACAGGGTGAATGCCCAGTTTGTTTAGTGGGGGTGCACCTGACTCAGGAGGACCATGGGCAAGACCTGATCCCGCCTTAGATGAGTTTCTTGGCAATATTCCTTCAGCAGCTGCTTGAGTGTCCCGTTCATGCGCTCCACTTTTCCCGAGCTCTGTGGCCAGTAGGCAGCATGCAGCTTCTACTTTAGTTTTAGTGGCTGTTAGTTCCTGAACTATCTCAGCTACAAATGCCAGTCTGTTGTCTGACCCTGGAGTTAGAGGCAGTCCAGATCTGGGGAGCATGGCTCCCATTTCTTCAATTCCTGGGGGCTGAGTGAGACCTTGCCATGGATTGTTCTGAGCACAGGTTAGGCACTGTTCACAAATGGCTCAGGTGATGGCAGTAGGCTGGGGCATGTAGAAATGGCACCCTAGTAGCGTTTCTAGTGCCGTTTCTTCCATGTGAGTTCCTTGGTAGAACTGCTTCACAAATCTAGGACCCACCATCTCAGCGATGGCCAATCTCCCATCAGAGAACTTCCACCATCCTCCTTCAATATATATTCCAGTTTCTTGGGCAAACCAGGCCTCATTTGGAGAGTAACTCGGGGCTTCCTGGAGAGGAGGCTCTGGGAGGAGGGGCAGAGCTAATACTTTCTCTTTAAAGTTCAGTGTGATCATTGCTGCCCGTTTTGCCTCCCGGTCTGCTTTCCTGTTTCTTTGGCCTCTGGCATCCCTGCCTTTTGGTGCCCTTTGCAAAGCATAACACCCCCTTTTTCTGGAGCCCATGCAGCATCTGAGAGCTGCAAAATCTCTTCCTTGTATTTTATTTCTTTTTCCCCAGCAGTTAAAACTCCTCTCTCCTTATGCATAGCTCCATGAACATGAAATGTGTCAAAGGCATACTTGGAGTCAGTATAAATGTAAACCTTACTGTCTTTTGCCAGCAAAAGAGCTCTTTTTTTTTTTTAGACGGAGTTTCGCCCTTGTTACCTGGGCTGGAGTGCAATGACGCGATCTCGGCTCACAGCAACCTCCGCCTCCTGGGTTCAGGCAATTCTCCTGCCTCAGCCTCCTGAGTAGCTGGGATTACAGACACACGCCATCATGCCCAGCTAATTTTTTGTATTTTTAGTAGAGACTGGGTTTCACCATGTTGACCAGGATGGTCTCGATCTTTTGACCTCATGATCCACCCACCTTGGCCTCCCAAAGTGCTGGGATTACAGGCTTGAGCCACTGTGCCTGGCCCCAAAAGAGCTCTTTTTAAGGCTGTTAGCTCTTCCTTCTGGGCCAACGTTTCAGTGGGCAAAGGCTGAGTCTTCACCACTGAGTCCAATGTTACCACTGCATACCCAGCCCGACGGACCTTTTCCAGCACAAAACTGCTCCCATCTGTAAAATATTCAATATCTGGGTCCCTGAGGGGCTGGTCTGTAAGGTCTCCTCAGCTTATGAACAACTCGTCTACTGTTTCCATACAGTCATAAAGGGGTCTCCCGGTTTGATTGGTGGGGTGTGCATAGGACAAATCTCATCTTCATAGTAAACCCTTTTATGACATTCTCTGTAACACACTGTGGCTTTATATATGTGAAAGAGTGGTAATTCTCTATAAGGAAAAGACCCAGGATCTTCTTTGTTTCCCTAAGCATAGCTTTGAGCAACATGATCTCTCCTGTTGGCTTCTTCGAGGTATGAAAGTCATCAATACATCTGTGTGCTTGGCCAAGTTATGTCGCAACTCCACCTGTGTAGAGAACAACCATGAGAGTCACATCAACTGTATGCTGGGCCAGGATTATGTCACAATCTTCCCCGAGAGCATACACCAGGCAGGAGACTCACATCACAGGGTTCTCAACCAGAGATGTTACTATGCTCTCCTGAAAGCAAGACACAATTTCTGAAGCACACCCCAGGCAGTAGCAGTCACATCACCTAGGTTCTTGGTCCAGCACTATTTCACAATACCTCTGAGGGGAGGCAGAAGTCACATTATCTAGGTGAGAAGTCTAGAGATATGTCACAATGTCCCTTGTGGGTAGGGCTCATAAACAAAAAAAGAGACATAGCCTAGGTGCTGGGCTCGGCTTTATGTTCCAGTCATCTCAGTGGGAAGAAGCCAAGAATGAGGAAGAGTCACGTCACGTAGGAACTCCAGAAAGTGGCATCTCGTAATTCCCACTGGACAAACCCCAGAAGAAAAGAGTCACATCATCTAGGTGGGAGGCCCAAACATGTTATCATAGTGACTCCTGTGTGCAGGGACCAGGAAAAATAATTACATGCCCCAGAAACAAGTCTCTCTATTCCATGGACATGGTCCAGGCAGAAGAGGAATGTCATGTCTTGTAGGTAAAAAGGACATTTACCTGAGCTTCGCCCCAGGAGAGATTGTAATAGGTCAAGAAATACATCACAATCTCCCAGTGGTCCAGGCAGAGGACTCACATCATCTTAGAGCTGGGCCCAGCAGTATGTCTCAATGCTTTCTAAGGGAATGGCCAAAGCAAAAAACGTAGTATCACATTAGTGTTAGGCACAGTCATATGTCATAATCTCTTTTGTGAGCAGAACCTTAAAAAAAGAAAAGTGTCGCATCAGCTAGGCGCTGGGCCCAACAATGTGTCCCAATACACCCTGTTATTAGGGAACAGGCAGGAAAAGACAGTCGCATTTTCAGGTTGATTACTAAAGACATATATTACAATGTCCTCTGTAGACAGATCCAGGATGAAGCATTACATCTCTTGGGTGTTGAAATCAGCAATGTTCCAATGGCCTATGTGTTTAGGGCACAAGAAAAAAATTTACATAGCATATATCCAGAAAGATATCACAATACACCTGTGGGCAACACCAAGGCAGAAGAGGAGACTAACATCACGGGAGTACAGTGCACACCGATATGTCACAATGACACCTGTGGGCTGTATCAAGGCAGAATAGAATCAAATTGCCAAGGTTCTGGGACCAGCAATATGGCACCGTGAGCTGGGCTCAGGAAAAAGAGACAAATAACTCAATGCTGGGCCAAGGCATATGTCACAGTTTCACAATTACTGGTGTATGTTGAAAAGTCTTGTGATGACATTAAAAATTACATACATGTCCTGAATCAAGGGATGACATATCAAAATATACAATTTATGCAGGGTCCACGCAGAAGACAGTATCTTCACCTAGGTGTTAGGCCTGGTGATACATCACAATACCTTCTGTGACAGTCCAAGCAGTGGAGAAGAGTCACATTACCCAGGTGCTGAATCAAAAAATGTCACAAAAATTACTGAGGGAAAGACCCAGGCAGGAGAGTCAAATTACCTAAATTAGGGGCTCAGAGATATGTTGCAATGACCTCTGTGGGTAGGACTCAGGAAAAACAGGAGAGTCACACAACCTAGAGGCTGAGTTAAGCTGTATGACACAATCACCCGAACTGATGGGCCCAGGGAAAAGAGGGTCCTATCACATAGGTGCAGGGCCAAGTGATGTATCACAATCCTCATTCTGGACAGTTCCCAGAGGAAAAGGAGAGCCACATCATCTAGTTGATGAGCCTAGAGATGTCACAATAAGTCATGCGGGCTGGGGTCATGCAGAAAAGTTGAATCACTTGTGAGTTGAGCCTAGTGATAAGTCACTTTTTTTCTGTGGGCATGGAGCAGGCAGGGGAGGAGAGTCACAACATCTAGGTGCTGGGCCCAGAGATAGGTCACAATCTCTACTACTGGCAAAACCCAGGTAAGCAAAAAGAGTCACTTCAAATAGTTGATGGGCCAAGAGATATGTCACAGTGCCCCCAGTAGGCAGGGTTTAGTCAGGAGACAAATAACATTGGTGCTGGGCACTGCAATATGTCACAATGTCTTTTAAGGGGTGGGCCAGGCAAAATAACTGCTGATGGGCCTAGTGATATGTCAGTTTTTTGCAGTCAGAATCTAGGAAAAAGAGACAAGTCACATCAGCTCAGTGCAAAACCAGCAATAGACATTATTATCCCCCAGTGAACAAGGACCCGGCAAGTGAAAAGAGTCACATCTCCTGAGTGACTGGCACAAAGCTGTGTCAAAAGTATCCCTGAAAGGCAGTGGCCTGGCAGGAGTTACATCACCTGGGTATTGAAACCAGCTATACTTCACAATAGCCTAAGTAGACGGAACAGGTGGCAGAGTCCCATCACCTGAGTGCTGAGCCCAAGGATATGTCACAATGTTCTTGTGGGCAAGGATTAGACAGCAGAGAAATTATGTCTTCCTCCTCCTCCTTTTTTTTTTTTTTGATGTGTAATCTTGCATTATCACCCAGTCTGAAGTGCAATAGTACAATCTCAGTTCATTGCAACCTCCACCTCCCAGGTTCAAATGATTCTCCTGCCTCAGCCTCTCCAGTAGCTGGGATGACAGGTGCCTGCCACCACACCCAGCTAATTTTTCTATTTTTAGTAGAGATGGGGTTTCACCATGTTGGCCATGCTGATCTCGAATTTCTAACCTCATGATCCACCTCCCTCAGCCTCCGAAAGTGCTGGGATTATAGGCATGAGCCACCATGTCAGGCCTGAGAAACATCATCTAATTGCTGGGTTCAGTGATGTCAGAATCTTCTCTGTGGGAAGAAAACAGGTAGAAGAGGAGAATCACCTCTTTCTAGGTAATGAAGCCAGACACATGCCACAAAGCCTCCTGTGGGCAGGGCCCAGGCAGGAGCCTCTCATACCCTAGGTGTCGGACCCAGAGATATATCACAATACTCATAATATTTCATGCCCTGGCAATAAAGGCGAGTTACATCCCCTAAGTGCTAGGTCCAGGGATATGTCACAATTCCTCTTTCATCAAGGCGCAGGCATAAGTGGAGAGTCACACCACCTGTATGATGAATGAAAAGATACATCATCATATCCCTGTAGGCAAAGCCCATGCAGGAGAGTTACATCACCTAGGTGTTGGCCCCAGTAATGTGTCAAAATACATAATGTATGCAGGGCTTAGGCAGAAGAAAAAAGTAACATCACCTAGGATCCTGGCCAAGTGATATATCAAACTCTCTTTTTGGGTATATTTCAAGCAGTAGAGGGGAGTCACATCACCTAGCTTCTCAGTCCAGCAATATGTCACAATGCCCCCTGTGAAAAATGACTGGAGAATAAGAGGAGAGTAACATAACTAAGGGGCTAGGCCAGCCTATGTGTCACAATCACACCCGTGAACAGGGCCTAGGCATGAGGGGAGAGTCACATCAATAAGTACTGGGCCATGTGATGTATCACAATCCCCGTATGGACAGGTCTCAGGAAGACATCACCTATGTGCTGGGCCCAGGAACTGTGACCAAGTCTCTTATAGAAAAACATAGGGTAAAAGAGGGGAGGGGATAACATCAAACACCTGATGGGCCAAGGGATATGTCACAATGCCCCCTGATGGCAGGGTCTAGGCTAGAGACACACATCACCTTGGTGTTGGGCTCATGAATATGTTACAGTGCCTTCTGAGGGCAGGCCCAGGGCAAAAGAGTAACAGCACCATGCTGCTGACCCAGAGGTATGTTACAATCTCTGCTGCAGGTGGATCCTACAAGGAATAAAAGAGTCACACCAGCTAGGTACTGGGCCTAGAGATGTTACTTTTGTGAGAAGGAACTAGGCAGAAAAAGGGAGTCACATCACCTGGGTGATGAGCACAGAGATATGTGACAATGGCTCCTGCAGGCAGAAGCCAAACAAGAGTTATATTACCTGGGCTTTAGAACCTGCAATATGTCACTCATGTGGGCAAAGCAGAGGCAGGAGAGTAGCATAACCTGGGTGGGATGGCAGCAATACTTCACAACGCTCACTGTGGACAGCACCAAACCAGGAGAGAAAATTCCCATCACTTGGGTGCAAGGCCCAGTGATATGTCACAATACCCCATGTGAAACCACAGAGGCAAGAGAATAGAGTCACATAACCTAGTTTCTCATCCAGCAACATGTCACAATTCTATCTGTGGGTTAAATCCAAGCAGGAGAGTAAACTTACTCAGCTTCAACACAGAGGCATGTGTCACAATCACAGGTGCAGGAAGGTCAAAGATGCAAAGAAGGTCAGATATTTAACAATCCTGTACATATCCCACTTCTGTGTCCAGCACCAAGGCAAGAGAGGAGACTCACATTACCTGGGTGCAAGGCTGTGATATGTTACAATGTCTTTTTAGAGTAGCACCAAGGCAGGAGAATAGAGTTACATCACATAGGTGCTGGGTCCAGCAGTATGGCACAATTCTACTTGTAGGCTGGGCCAATTTTGAAGAACAACATTACTCACGTGCCAGGCAGAATTTGTATATCAAAATCACACCTGCAGGAAAGACTAGGGATAAGATTAACAATCCTGTACATAGTCCAAATCTTTGTATGAGAGTCAACACCTCCTGTATGTTGGGTCTAAGTACACAAGTCACAATTTTTAGAATGAATTGAATCACTGAATGACTCAATCCCTCTTTTTTTTTTGAGACAGAGTTTCGCTCTTGTTACCCAGGCTGGAGTGCAGTGGTGCGATCTTGGCTCACCGCAACCTCCGCCTCCTGGGTTCAGGCAATTCTCCTGCCTCAGCCTCCTGAGTAGCTGGGATTACAGGCACGCACCATCATGCCCAGCTAATTTTTTGTATTTTTAGTAGAGACTGGGTTTCACCATGTTGACCAGGATGGTCTCAATCTTTTGACCTCATGATCCACCCGCCTCCGCCTCCCAACTGCTGGGATTACAGGCGTGAGCCACTGCGCCCGGCTGGACTCAATCCCTCTTATTGTTTGTGTCACCTTAGTGGAATCACAGACTAACAGCTGTGTTCAATCCTGGTCTGAAAGTCACCAACTTACTTTTGGACTGGATTCACTTACAAGAGTAAATTTTCCAACTTGAGACTATCTCTGCATATGAGATATGAGAGACTATCTCTACACAGTGGACTGTGTTCATATAAAAAAGATGACAATGTTTATTGTTGGCTGGGTGTGCAGGAGTGTCAAAACCTCAACTGTAAGCTGAGCCCAGTTAGAACATTCTGTGTACCACCTGAGGAATTTATTAGGTTTGCCTGAGAGTCGCAATCTTTTGTGACTGGGAGCCATTTGGGCTGGGATGGACTCATGATCATACCTGTGGCTCTATGTACAGATATGAGTTAACATCTCCATAATGGCTGGGTCCAGATATGAGAGCTGTCGCCTGCCTATAAGCTACGCTTACTAATGAGTCACCATCTCAGCTGTTGCCTGATGTTCACGTATGGCAGTCACAATTTTAACTCTGCACTGCATTCACCTGTAAGATTTAAGACCTCACCAGTAGGCTCTGTCCTGAATGAGGGTGACAATCTTAACAGTTGGCAAAGTGCACACATAAAACACAATCTCATCTGTTTCCTGGACCCTGTTATGACACTCTCTGTACCACCAAGGGCTTTATACAATATGTGAGAGAGTGTAATTTTCTCTGACCTTTCTACTTCCTTCTTCCTCTCTGGGAAGAGCCAGAATCTTACCCATTTTCCTAAGCCCACATATGAGAGATAGTATGTCTCCTGAAGAGCCAGAATCTTACCCATTTTCCTAAGCCCACATATGAGAGATAGTATGTCTCCTATTGGTTGATTTCAGATATGAGAGTCAACATTGCACCTATGATCTGAACAAAGAGATAAGTCACAATCCACTCCCCTGTGGATAGGAAGCAAGCAGGAGGGTTATATCATCTAAGTAATAGGCCAGGGATATGTCACAATCTTCTCTGTGAGCAGGCACCAGGCAGAAGAGTTAAAACCTGGGTGCTTGGTCAGGGATATGTTAAATTTCCTCCTGAAAGCAGGACACAGACAGTAGAGTCACATCACCTGGGTGCTGAGACCAGTGATATATCACAGTATTCTTTGTGAGCAACGCTCAGGCAGGAGAAGTATATCACCTGATTTCTGTGCCAGAAGGTATGTCACAATCTCTCATATGAGGAAAGCCTTGTTATAAAAGGAGAGTCACATCAAATAGTTGATGCTTTTAAAGATATGTCACAACACTCTGTTATCAGGGCCCATACGGGAGACTCATGTCACCTTGTCACTGGGCCCATCAATATGTCACAATGCCTTTTGAGGTCCAGGCCAAGGCAAAACAGTAATGTCACATTGGTGTAGAGCCCCATGGTATGTCTCAATCTTCCTTGCCAGCAGAACTTAGGATGAAAGAAAAATCACAATTGTTTTGTGCTGAGCAAAGTGATATGTCACAACTCCCCCTGTGAGCAGGGACCAGGCAGGAGAAGAGAGTCACATCACCCAGGTGATGAGTGAAAATATATGTCATAATGCTGCTTGCTGGCACTAGAGCTGCATTACCAGGGTGTCACACCCAGCAATATGTCACAATTGCTTATGTGGTCAGGGGACAGGCATGAGAGTCACATAACCTGGGCATGGGGCCCAGAGATATGTCACAATGCCTTCTGTGGGTAGTACACAGAAGTGCAAGGCCCAGCGATATGTCACAATGTCCCCTGTGAACAGGACCAGTGCAGAAAAATAGAGCCACATCCCCTCCATTCTGGGTTCAGCAGTAGGTCACTATTCCATCTGTGGGCTGGTCTTAGGCAAGAGAGTCAGATCACTCAGGTGCTGGGCAGAGAAAAATGTTATAATTAAACCTGCAGGAAGGTGCAGGGATGAAATTAACAATCGGACACATGTCCAGTTTTAGGTATAGGAAGTTCACCCTTCCTGTATGTTGTGCCTAAGAACAGAAGTTACAATGTCAACGGTGGACTAAATTTGTACCTGACAGCCTGTACTCCTCCTGTGGACTTTGTCTAATTAGTGAAGTCACAGCATCATAGGTGTGCTGAATCTTGCTCTGAGTGTCACCAACTCATCTGAGGACCGGATCCACCTTTGGAGTCAAATTTTCTACCTTTGACTTCCTCTACATGTGAGATTCAGAACTTCAAAAATGGGCTGTGTTTATGTCAGAAGATGATGTACACTGTTTCATGGATGTTCATGTAACTGCAGAAGTCTCCTCTGTGTGCTGGTTTTTTGTTGTTGTTGTTTTTTGTTTTGGCTTCTTTTTGAGACAAAGTCTTGCACTGTCGCCTGGGCTGGAGTTCAATGGTGCAATCTTGGCTCACTGCAACTTCCACCTCCCAGGTTGAGGCGATTCTCCTGCCTCCGCCTCCTGAGTAGCCAGAATGACAGGTGCATGTGAGGGATTGGTCAGAGTGGTGGGAAAAACTATAGTGAAAGGAGGCAAACCTTCTGAAAGGTCGGAAGGTTTTGCAGAGCCTTGGGGGAGAATAGCTGAAGGCAGTGGTTCTATAACCCTGAGATAGAGGGCAAGGAGTAGGTACAACAGAGTGTAGAGAAATTTTTCTTAAACAGGCTTGTTTACTTATATTGACCAGGAGCTTATCTTCGATCACCCATGCCAGTGACATTCCCTGAAAGGGGAACAATAAATGTTAATTACCTACAGGTTGTGTTGTCTCCAGGTTTTCGGCTTTATGCCTGCACTGAATAAAAGTAAGCAGCCTCAGCTTCTCAGGGCTGCTGTCTGGCCCCTAGAGCCGGGCTGTCACCTAACTGCTCTTACACTGTATACCTGTATCTGAGTACTCACTTCATCCATCGACCAGGGTATGCAGGACAGACTCAGCAGGCACCCAGCACTATGCCCAGCTAACTTTTTGTATTTTTAGTAGAGACAGGGTTTTACCATGTTGGCCAGGCTCGTCTTGAACTCCTGACTTAGTGATCCACCCACCTCAGCCTCCCAAAGTGCTGGGATAACACTCTTTATACTACTCAAAGCTTTTATCCACTATAAATGAGAGTCACAATTTACTCTATAATCATGTTTGTAAGCACCCACAACCATACTTGTGGCCCTCAGCCCAGGTATTAGAGTCAACATCTCTCCAGTTGGTTGGTTTAGATAGGAGAGTCCTCATCTGCTATGTTCTGAGTTTAGAAATGTGTCACCATCTCATCTGTGGCTGGAGGCTCACATACGACAGTCACAATGCCAACTGTGGACAGTGTTTGCATGTGAGATTCAAGACCTCAGCAATGGGCTCTTTCCATGTGTGAAGGTGATAATCCGAATGCTTGGTGAGGTGTGCATATAAGAAACAGTCTTACCTCCGTGCCGTATCCTGGGATAACACTCTTCGTAGCACTCAAGGACATTATGTGATATGTGGAGTGTGGCAATTCTTTATGACCTTCATAAAAAGAGAAGACTAAGGATGTGACTCATGTATCTAAGTTGAGCTATGAGAGATGCTATTTCTTCTAATAGCTGACTAGAGGTATAAGAGTCATCATCACAATTATAAGCTGGCTATAGTACATGTCACCATTTAGCCTGCAGGTAGGGAATTAGCAGGAGAGTCACATCCCCTGGGACTTCAGCCAAGGATATCTCACAATCATCCCTGAGGGAAGGAACCAAACAGGAGTGTCACATCACCCAGTGGTCAGGCAGGGATATGTCAATTCTCTCCTGAAAGCACAGCACAGGCAACAGAGTCACATCACCTGGGTGCTGAGCTCAGCAGTATGTCACAATGCTCCCTGGGGGCAAGACAGAGGCAGAAGAGCCACATCACCTGGTGTCTGCTTCTGGGAATATGTCACAATCTTTCCTGTGCAAGGCAGGGTTCAGGCAAGAAGTGTCATGTCTTTTAGGTCATGGATACAGATATATGTCACAAGGTCCCTGTGGGCAAAGCCCAGGAAGGAGCATACAATCTCATAGGTGGTGGACCTAGTAATATTTTACAATGCCCAAAATATGCAAGGCCCAGGAAAACAGGAGCATCACATCACCTAGGTGCTGGGTCCAGTGATATGCCACAATCCTCCCTTGCTCTCTGTGACAATGCCCTCTGTCCAACACCCTCTGTGAAATGAGAGCAGACTCACACTTTCGGCCAGGCACGGTGGCTCACACCTATAATCCCAGCAGTTTGGGAGGCCGAGGCGGGTGGATCACAAGGTCAAGAGATCGAGACCATCCTGGTCAACATGGTGAAACCCCGTCTCTACTAAAAATACAAAAAAATTAGCTGGGCATGGTGGTGCGTGCCTGTAATCCCAGTTACTTGGGAGGCTGAGGCAGGAGAATTGCTTGAACCCAGGAGGCGGAGGTTGCGGTGAGCCGAGATTACATCACCTAAATGCTGGGTCCAGCAATATGGCACAATCCCATCTGTATGCTGGGCCCTGGCAGGAAAGTCAAATTACTCAGGTGCGAAAAAAAGGTGTATGTCACAAACACACTTGAATTAAGGTTGAGGTACGAGATTAACAATTTCATACACTTCTTAGTTCTAGGTATCAGACATAATACCCTCTGTGTGTTGGGTGTAAGTACACAAGTGATAATTTCAATGATGGTCTGACTTTATATGAGAACCTCAATCCCTCCTGCAAATTGTGTCATTTTAGTGAAGTCACCAATTCCTAGGTGTGCTGAATCTTGGTTTCAGAGACACTAATTTCTGTATGGATCAAATTAACATATGACATTCAATTTTCCAACTTTCTGCATAAGAGATTCAGAACCTCAACAGTGAGCTGTATGTGGAAGAATGACAGTCTTTACTGTTGGCAGGCTATGCATATGAGTGTCACAACCTCCCCTGTGTGCTGACTTCTGTTAGGACATTCTCTGTACCTCTTGACAACTTTACACAGTATGTGAGAACATGTTAATTCTTTTTTTTCTTCTTCTTTTTTTTTTTTGAGACAGAATTTTGCTGTTGTTACCCAGGCTGGAGTGCAATGGCACGATCTCGGCTCACCACAACCTCTGCCTCCTGGGTTCAAGCAATTCTCCTGCCTCAGCCTCCCAAGTAACTGGGATTACAGGCACGCACCACCATGCCCAGCTAATTTTTTTGTATTTTTAGTAGAGACGGGGTTTCACCATGTTGACCAGGATGGTCTCGATCTCTTGACCTTGTGATCCACCCGCCTCGGCCTCCCAAACTGCTGGGATTATAGGTGTGAGCCACCGTGCCTGGCCGAAAGTGTTAATTCTTTATGGCCATCATACAAAGAGGAGAATCAAGACATTACTCATTTTCCTGACCCTGGCTATGAGAGACAGTATATCTGCTATTGATTGTTTTGAGGTATGAGAGCCATTATTGCACCTGTAAGTTTGGATAAGATATGCATCACAATCCCATAACTGATTAGAAACTGACCAGTAGACTCACATCACCTGCGTTTTGGGGAAGTGACATGTCATAATCTTCTCTGAGGGCAGGGACAGGGCAGAACTGTCACACCACTTGGGTGCTCGATTAGGGATATGTTAAAATCTCCTCCTGAAAGCAGAGTACAGTCAGCAGAGTCCCACCACCTGGATGCTAGGCACTGTGATATGTTACAATGATCTGTGGGCAAGGACCAGGCAAGAAAAACACATCATCTGATTGCTGAGCCCAGTGATTCATTAAATCTTCCCAGTTAAATCTCCAAGATAGCTGGGCGCGGTGGCTCATGCCTGTAATCCCAGCACTTTGGGAGGCCAAGGTGGGTGGATCACGAGGTCAAGAGATCAAGACCATCCTGGTCAACATGGTGAAACCCTGTCTTTACTAAAACTACAAAAATTAGCTGGCCATGGTGGCACGCGCCTGTAGTCCCAGCTACTCAGGAGGCTGAGGTGGGAGAATTGCTTGAACCCAGGAGGCAGAGGTTGCGGTGAGTCGAGATCAAACCATTGCACTCCAGCCTGGGTAACAAGAGCGAAACTCCGTCTCAAAAAAAAAAAATCTCCAAGATAAAAAATGCAAAGATACATCACAAAGCTATTTATCTGCTGGGCTCAGGCAGAAGCCTCCCATCTCATGCATGTTGAACTCCATGATATGTCACTATATGCAAAATATGCCAGAAACAGTACAAATAAAAGGTCACATCACCTAGGTGATGGAAAGGAGATGTGTCATAATACTTCTGTGGGCAGTTCCCATGCCATAAAGTTGTATCACCTAGGTGCTGAATCCATGCATATGTCGGAAGACGCAACGCATGCAGGGCTTAGGCAGAAGAGGAGAGTCACAACACACCAGTGATGAGTCCAGCAACACATCAGAATCCCTGCTTGAGCAAATCCCAAGCCATAGAGAACAGTCACCTCACCTATGTACTGGGTTGAGCAATATGTCACACTGCCTCTTATGGGGAGGGCCCATGCAAGAGAGTCACAGCACCTATGTAATGAGTTCAGCAATATGTCACAGTACCCATTCGAGGGCAAGAGAGTCGCATCTTCTAAATTATGGGTGATAGAACCAAACTTTGTCTCAAAAAAAAAAAAAATCAGTCATATCACCCAATTAAGGGTCTCAGAGATAAACCACAGTGCCCCTCATGGGTAGGGCTCAGGCAGAAGTGTGGAGTCACGTCACCTTTAAGGTGGGCCCAGCTATGTGTCAAAATTGCTGCAGTGGAGAGATCTCAGGCCTAAGAAAAGAGTCATATCATGTAGGTGCTTGGCTAAGCAATATGTCACAATCCCCACTGTGCACAGGTCACGGGAGAAGAGAGCCATAATCTCAGTTATGAGCCCAGATATATGTAACGGTGACTTCTGGGAGCCAGCAGAAGAATCATATCACCCGTATGCTAATCTCAGCAATAAATCACTCTCTCTTCTGTGGGCAAGGCCCAGGCAGGAGGGTACTGGACCCAAAGATGTGTCACAGTCTCTTTTTGGGCAACATCCAGGTAAGAGAGAAAAGTCACATAAAATAGTC